AAATTCCATCTAATTATTAGTAATTTGGATACATCTGAATACGAAAGAAAATTAATCATTAAAACACCAGCATCTGAATATGAATTTTCGCTAGAAGACGCTATTAAAGAACATCATAAAGAAAATGGTGATAGAACTAAATCATGGAATACTTTTATCAAACTTGCAAATTCAGGAAATCCAGAAGCAAAATTTTGGGCAGGTTTATATCTTTACCATGACATGTGTAATCAACCTATTGATGAGGCCGAAAGGAAGTTTAGAACATGTAGAGCAGCAGAATTCTTTAAGGCAAGTGCTGATGAATGTGACACGTCTAATGTACAATCATATGTGGATAAAGCTCAATTACATTTTGCCTATTGCTTATGGAATGGCAAAGGAATCAAAAAGAATTATATAAAAGCAATAGAATATTTTAAAAAAGCTGCACTAGGTGGAAATCCATATGCAATGTATAATTACGGTATAATATTATACGAAGGAATTTACGTTCATGCAGATAGAAATCAAGGTGAAATGTATTTAAAATTAGCTGCTGATAAGCAAGTTCAGGAAGCAATCGATTTTTGTAATACTAATAACCTAATGCAACTAACTCCGTCGAATCAATAGACCCTTAGCTTTTTCATATGGTACACATGACATCTCAAATCAACATAATTATGTATATTACAGTTAGATGCACCTAATATTAAGTTTGCTAAAAATTTGATTAGCTGATACAACCAAAATTTGTTCATATTAAGGCAATATAAGACCATTCAAACTGGCATAACGACATCAAAAATGTTACTACAAGATACATCACAATAGTTCCTTGGGATATAAACAAAAGTTGTTTTCTAATTTATACGACTGTTCAATTTTTTCTATGAGGCCCATTTCAAAGTATCAATATTGCTATCTCGCATATTGATATTGGATAGTCTTTTCTTGCTAATATTAAACTTACTTTCAAAAAAGACACTATATAGTTCCATTCTCAGCTACTTAGTTGTATTTGTTATATGTGAAGGTGCCTTCAGAATTCATTAAATCTGATATAAATGTTGAATAAGAGGTTAGTTTGCAAGATATTGAATATTTTTGTTTGCCGTATATTGACAATATCCTTCAAGGTGTCATGATAGAATAAGCAGTTCTACAGTCTTCTTCTTGACATAAAATATTGTTATATTCGGTTAAAACAGTTTAAGGCAATTGCAAAAAACTAGAAGCCATCACAAATTAATTACTGTTGCTAGTGGACATGTATGGACAGAAAGAAGTCTAGACAAAGTATGACATGTTGCGCGAAAAAAGAAATGCCAATAGCTCAAAATTTTATTATGACAACTTTATTTTAAGCATTAAGTAAAATGATTATCGCTAAATTTTACATATAACAAGGTTCAAAGATATATTCAGAGTTAGATATATAAAAATATTATTTTTTAAACTAATGGGCAAAGATGTTTTGTCAATACTTTTTCTTTAAGAAAAACCAACCATTATTTAATGGGCAAAGATGTTTTGTCAATACTTTTTCTTTAAGAAAAACCAACCATTATTTACTGTTCAGTTTATTAAGCGTACATTGAAGTAACATGTTCATATAAATTTTTAAGTTTGACAGTCGTGGATCATACTATTCTAATAAGTTCAGTTTTAAGCAATTAAAAAATAATTATGTCACGACTGAAGTTAGCGTTTGCAGATTTAGGCGTCTGAGTTACACCTGCAATTATGTGCAAGAATATCTAATTTCAAAGGCTAAATTAAGTCAGCTAATTACAATTCCAGTTGCAACCCAAGCGGTATTAACTTCAAGTATGACAATAATAAAACTTTGCGAAAATATTATCGGAAATAATTAAATTAGGGTTGAAGGGTAAAGGTAGCAGCAATGTTCTTTGTAAAATAGTACATTGACTTTAAAATTTAGTAAATATCAACTTGGAAGTAGAAGAGTTAGTGTCTTAAATGCAACGATGTTAGATAATTTATATGACATTATATATTTATCACGAAAAATTTTTGATTCCTCGATTGACACTGATTTTTTAGCCTTGTATTCACGTGACTTTTATATGTAGATCAACCAATCATGATCATGAAATTTTGTTTACACGAATCATCTCAAAGAAGTCAAAAAATCAAAAAATGCAAAAATATGGAAAGCGGTAGTCTAAACCTGTCTTGGTGCATTGATAAAAAGTGCCGAGAGGTAATTTTACCTATAAACCTACACTTATCCTAACACTACACTAACCCTAATTTTGTCAGGGAATCTTCCAAATTTGGTTGTTAAAGATCATATCTAATTTAGTATTGGACTATTCTAGATTTTCTTTTTAGATTATTCCACCTGCTATAATAATTGATCAATAAAATCAAAGAATGCTAAACAGCATCGCAAAGTTTCTTCAATCAGATCTCTTGAAATGCGCACTCTACATTAGTTTTAAATATATAGTATTGTGTGATTCTGGCTTATAAAGAGCTATATAATTGAGTAATTTGCTTTTTAGTTTTCTATTAAGCGTGCATTAAGTTTTTTATTACAGTTGGAATTCACTTAATGATGTCCAACTGTACCAATAACACTGTATACATAACCTTCAGTATTTACAAAAAAGTCAAAATTAATTAAAAATCTTGAGTGTACTGTATAGACATTGGACCCGATCAAAAAAACGCTACCCGGGTTACCCGACGGATAAACCCGAGGGTTACCCGGGTGATC